AAAAATAAAACAATTAAAATAAAATGTAATAAAAGCAAGAAAATAAGTGAAAAAATGTTAATAAATGAAAATAAACAAAAAAGGGAAAAAAATAATAATAAAATTAAAAAAAGAAAATAAAAACAATGACAATATTTAAAAATTGAACATTGCAAAAAAAATTTATTAATAATAGTAATATATTAATAATAATAAAATACAACCAAATTCAATTTAAAACAAAACAATAAAACAAAACTTTAAAATAAAAATTCAAATTAAAAAGAAAAAAATAATACAAATAAAAAAATGAAACATTTTAAAAAGTAAATAAAAATAATGATTATAATTACAACAATATTTAAAAAATAACATAAAAAATATTGAAATAATAATAGTAAAAATAATATTAATAATAATAATAACAATAATGATGAAAATAATATACAACCAAATTCAATTTAAAACAAAGGCAAAAAAAATGTAAGATTTAATTGAAAGGAAAAATAAGAAAAATCAAATAATAAAAATGTTTTTTTTTAAAAAAGACAAAATGAAATGACAATAAAATATTTTTTAAAAGTAAATGAAAATAATGACTATAATTGAAATAAAACTAAACAATAAAATAAAAAATATTGAAATAATAGTACAACTACTAATACTAATAACAATAACATACAACCAAAGTCAATTTAAAATTAAAAAATAATACAAAATAAAATGAAAACAAAAAATAAGAAATTTAAAATTTAAAATGTAAAAATAGGAAAAGAACCAAATAAAACAAAAAACAGTATTAAAAAGTAAATAAAAGTAATAAAACATAAAAAAATCTAAAATATTGAAATAATAATAATAATAATAATAATAGAGCTTTTTGAAGCAAACAATACACATTTTATCAGCTTATTTGGTGAATAAAAACAATATTAACAAAATGAATTCTCATATATTTTGCGATGGAGTTTGTGGAGGGCTGATGACGGCGGTTAACACTGCTTCTCTGAGTTCTGAGGTATCGGCGTCCTGAAAACCTGGACCAGAACTGCAGCTGGTCACTTTTACAGTTCCTCTCTCATACATTTATATAGAAGATCTCCATAGATATTTATATAGCTTCATCTGCTATGAGTTCAACAGGAGGAGAGAGATGGAGAAATCAAGAAGAAGAAGAAGAGCAGAAAACACACACACACACGGTCAGATAAAGAGCTAAAATTAAATAAAAGCTCATATTTCAAAACAAAAGTCATGAAAATGCAGCTCATTCAGTGCCAACCTTGTGTTTTTATACTCACACACTGTACATCATATCTGTTGATGCACTTTCTCTGTATTTTGTGTATATTTGGGATGTGAACTGCATTATGGGATCCCAGCCGGGACTCAAACCAGTGACCTTCTTGCTGTGAGGCCACAGTGCTAACCACTGAGCCACCGTGCCACCATTAAACTATTACAAATGATCCTAAAAGTCACTTTTACACACTTTTCACAGTTCAAAGTTGCTGGAAGAAAGATGGAGATCCCATAATGCCATTCAGAAGCAGAAATAAACAGGAAAAATAAAAACATCTATCACAAAATAAGGAAAACTGATCATTTAAGGATATTTCCACCGTGCGTCTACTACATTGCAAATTAAATTGTACATTAAAATAATATATATATATATATATATATATATATATATATATATATATATATATATATA